GGAGGCCAAGGCCAGAAGGAGGGAAGGAGGCCGGGCCAGAGCTGCGCAGGCCTGACCCTAAGGCACGGTCACTTCCTGGAAAGCTGTGGAATGGCCACGCGTGGGCCAAGGGCACAGGCAGGTGCACGCTGCTGCCTCCAGAGGAGGAGCCCGCAGGTCCTGCTGCTCAGAGCACAGGGACCCGCAGGTGCTCAGCACCCACCTGCCAGGCGCCCTGCTGACGGGACCTGACTCCTTAACCCCCACCCGGCAGGCGGACGTCTCAGCCCAGGTTCAGAGAGACTTTCTGTCCCTCAATTCCTCACCTGTAGGGCTTTTTAAAGTTTTATTTTGTTTTAATGTACAAATAGTAACTGTGTGCATTTATCGGGGACAATGTGATGTTCAATAGCTTCATACCCTGAGGACTGACACACTGGGCCAATTAGCCATCCATCACCTGTGACACCCTTCATTCCCTTGTGGTGAGGACATTGAAAATCCTCCCTTGAGGCCCGGGGACATGGCCCAGTTGGTAGAGTGCTTGCCTCACGGGCACAGGGCCCTGGGGTCCATCCCCAGCACCACCAACAACACTCCTCTCTTGCAATATACAGTGTGATGTTCTGTCCTTGGGGACACCTGGGTGAACTGCAGGACACTGTGGTGGATGACACAGGTCCAGAGAGAAGCACAGCAGATCTCACTGCAGTGGAGTCAGAAAGAGTTGAGCTCAGGAGCAGAGAGGAGAGCGGAGGCCCTGGGTGGGCAGGTGGCGGGGAGAGAGGAGGTGGCCACAGCACGGAGCGCAGCTGGGAATAGGTCTGGGTTCCAGTTGTGCGTGGCGCCAGGACCTAGAGGCGTCCCTCTGCAGGGACCTGACTTCTCCTTGGCCTGGAAGAGGCTGCGCCTCCTTGAGCCGGGGCCGGTCTCAGTCTCTCATGGCTGGATGTGGATCTCCGCGTACTCACTGTCGGGGGCCTGCTCTCCCTGCGGGTCGCTGGCCTTCACCTCATGAAACCTGAGGGCTGCATAAAGGATCTCCTCATCCTCTGAGGGGTGGGTGGCCACCGCCAGGGGAGCTGGCTCTGGGGAGCGTTCCTCTGCCTGGGACTCGACCAGACGGCTCTGAGTGGAGAGAGAGGAGAGAGTCAGGGTGGACAGTGGGGAGGAGGCCAGGGCTGCAGGGGTGCCCGTGTGTCCTTCATCCACACAGCCTTGTGCACCAGTGTTGAACTGTCCCTCATGGACACTTCCTCAAGCACTGAATGCTCCACGCGCACCCAGCCTCGTGAACTTCCCCCAACAGCTCCATGGGGGAGGTATTATTTCGTCTCCATTTCATAGAAGTGAAACCCGAGGTTGAAGTAGGGACGCAGCACACCCAAACTCCCGGGTAAAATCAGGGTCTCATCTGTTTCTTCCTGACCCAAAGCCCAGTGTCCTCCTGAGGGCCCCGGTGCCAGATCCTAAGCTGGGTGCTCGGTGCACCCTGGTGGACACAGCAGACCTAGGCCCCTGCCTCTTGCAGCTCATTCCTTAATGGACGGTGGTCACAATAAGGACTAATCAAAAACCAAAAATCCAATCGTGCATTATGACAAGATGGGCAGGAACAGGGCACCTGGGAGAGGCCGTGCCTGGACCAGACATGGCGCCCGCCCCGAGATGCTTACAGCCTGATGGGCTGGGGCAGGAGCCAGCCAAAGAAATGGTATCCCTCCAACAGGAAGAAAAAGGACCCCCAAATGTCCTCATGTGAGTTCCTGGAACCTGCAAATACATTTCCTTGTGAGAGAGACTTTGCAGGTGGAATTAAGTCCAGGATGTGGAGGTGCAGAGGGATCCTGGGTTTGTGTGTGAGCCCTGTGTAGTCACGAGGGACTCTTCAGTGAGGGTGGGGGGACGCGAGGGACTGGAGGATGCTGCTGGCTCTGCAGATGGAGAGAGGCCCCGTCCCCCACCTAGGTCCCCAGGCCCCCAAGACTGAAAGGCAAGAAAACGTCATCTTCTGGAGCCCCACGGGGACCAGCGCCCGCTCACTGATTTTATTCCCGGGAAACCCATTTTGGACTTGTGACCTCCCGAATGGTAAGGTGACACGTATTTTTGTTTGAAGTCACTAAATCTGTGGCAAGTCTTACAGCAGCAGCGGGAAGCTAATAGAGCAGGTCAGGCAGCAGAGAGCCATGGGGGCTCCCCCAGGGGTCCCCTTCATCTTAGGCCTTTCTCTGCCCACCCTGGACAGCAGATGGCGCCACAGAGCTGACCGTGACTTGGCTCCTCCCCCTGCCTCCTGATTCTCTGAGGATTCACACTCAAGCTGCTTCTCCACCCTGAGGCCCCGGAGCCCTGCTCCTCTGGGACTCTGCAGAAGCCGAGGACACAGCCGCACACCTTCCGCCCACAGAGGCCCTCTGCACTGAGCTACGGGACACCTCCAGGCCCATCCACCGCCCTGGCAGCCCTCTGTCCTGTCCACACCTCCTGATCCCTGAACCTCAGAGTCAAGGATTCTTCTCTGCAAGGTCCCTTGGTGGTCACAGTGAGTCCCCACGGCCCCTCGCCATCAACAGATGTGACATGCAGCCCTCCTACCCACTCCCCCTCCTGACCACAGACTCGGGCCAACAGTGTGCAGACGCTCCTCAAGTTACAGCCAATAAACCTACCATAACTAAAAAGGTCAAGGTCAAAAGTGGGCTTAGTGCACTGGACGGCCCAAGAGCACCAGTTTACCTCCCCGACCTTTAAGCACGCTCACCACACTCACGTGAGCCTGGCACTGGGAGAGCTCTCACGCAAAGTCTGTTTTGAAACGAGTTTGAACAGCCGCATCCACAACAGGGCAGCGCAGTCCTCCACAGAGCGCTGGTCTACCTCGGGTGTGGCTTGTGGGGGATGCTGCCCCTGCCCAGGACCACAGCGTGTCATGTACCACCCATCCCTGGTCCCGGAGAAGGTCAACATGCTAAATCTGAAATGTGGCTTCTCTGAGTGGGTGCTGCTTTGCATGTTCGTAAAGTTGAGAAGTCGTCCATGGAAACACTGTGAGTAGGGGCTGTCAGTACTCGGAACCCCTCCCTTGTCCAGAAACTAAAACCTATTTCAACAGAACTCCTCCTTCCCTCCCCAAGTCCCCTCCTCCTACCTCATCTGGACCTCAGTGGTTGGCGCCTCCATTCTGACTGCTCAGGGCAAAGATCCCGGAGTCACGCATCCTGGATCCTGTCACTCAGTCCCCGCTCCCTGTCCACAGTGGCCCCACTCAGCTGACCTCAGGAGCCAGCCAGAGGCCAGTCAAGGTTCCAGCCAGCATGACCTCCTGCCTGGCAATGCCTCCCAGCCTCCTTTATAACCTCCCGCCTCTGCCCCCTCACACACACACACACCTGCTCCCCAACACACACACGCGCACACTCACACACACATACCTGCCCCCACCACACACACACACAGGGTCTCTCCTGCACACAGCAGCCAGAGGACACCCTCCTGCTGCTCAGGCCTGCAGACCCTGCACAGCCCCACAGCAGATGGGATTTGCATGAGCTCAGCCTCTCCCAGCTGACCTCCTGGGGTCACCTGCCTCCCTCTGTAGAGCCCAGGCTCTGCCCTCACCCCTGGGCAGCCTCCTGTTGGAGTAACTGCACCCACTGCTCCCTCTGCCTGGAACCCTCACACCACGACCCCTCGTCACTACCCTCGCCAAAATGGGAAGCAACTTGGGAGAACCTTCCATCTGATAAGGGCCCAAGAGCCAGGCTGCAGAAGGAACCCTGCAGCACGTCAGCACAAAACACAGCCCAAGTAGACAGTGGGCAAAGAACGTGACCAGACATTTCTCCAAAAAGACACAGAAATGACCAATAAGCACACACACAAAAATCTTCAGTGTCACTAGTGATCAGAGAAATGCAAATCAGAGCCACAGAGAACTATCACCTCACATGTATTAGAAGGACAGTTTTAGGAAAATAATAGGAAATTACACAACCACACACACACAAAAAACAGTGTGGCCAAGGATGTTGAGAAATGGGAACCTCGTACGCTTCTGGTGCATGTAAGATGGTGTAGCTTCTGAGAAACAGGAAGTTCCTCAAAAATTAAAAATAGAACACTATACAATCCAGAAATCCTAGTTATGGGCACATATCCAGAAGACTAGAAAACAGAATCTTGAAGGGATGCTCACACAGCTGTGCATTATTCACAGTAGCCGACAAATAGAAGCAACCAGAATGCCCATCAACAGATAAATGGGCAAAGAAAATGTGGTGGATATTATTCACCCTTAAAGAGAAAGACCTTCTGTCACATGCTACACCACAGACAAACCTTGAGGACGTGTGCATGACATAAGCCAGTCACAAAAGGGCAAATCCTGTCCACGTCCACCTCAGTGAGGCCCCAGAGGAGGCAAAGGCTTAGAGACAGAGAGTAGGAGGGAGGCTGGCGGGGTGGGGGGAGGGGCCAGGAGGGCAGCGGGTTGTGCTCATGGATGGAGACGAAGTGCTCCGGGGATCTGCTGCCCAGCTCTAACTTCAACACGGCTAAGATGGTGAAACTCACGCTGCATGGTTTTCCACCCTCGAGGACAGATCTAAAAAACAGAAGCTCTCAGCCCCTCCCAGTCCTGCACCCTTCCTCCCCAGAGTAAGTCTCTCTCGTTGTGCCCATGCACCACCATCTGTTTGCTTGGTGGCTTGCTGCCTCCCTCTGTCTAGAAGAGAAGCTCCGAGCCTCAGGTTTGCTGCTGTGTCTCATAGATGGGTCCCTGGCCCCTACACAGCTGGTCCCTGGTAGGTCTCAGGGACATCCCCTGAGGGGTTAAGGAATTCCAGAGCAGGCTACTTTGCTGCCCAAACTCTCCAAAGCAGGCTCTAGATACAAAACACAAAGGAGGAGGGTGACAGGGCCCTAGAGCACGGAGGGTGACAGGAATGAACAGTGGGACTGCAAAGAGCCTCTGAGAGGGAGGAACAGGCAGGCCCAGGCCCAGAGGCACCAATGACCTTGTTCTGTTCTGGGGGACCACAGTGAAAGCCCTCTGCAGAGGAGCCCAGTGTGGGGGGCGGGAGCAGGCTGTGGGGAGGACGGGGCCAGAAGAGCGAGCTGGGGACTCACCAGGAGAGAAAGATTAAAAAGGGGGTCAAAAATGTCAGAAATTGAGATAAATATTTTAATGCAGAGATACTAAAAATAGAAATTAATGCCAAAATTCCTGGAAAATAAACCCAGCATTAGTGAAAGTGTCAACTGAGCCAACTGGAGGAACACTCTGTTTGCATGTTTTAGTGACATTTTTAATGGTCAGCTTTTTTAGAGAACTTTAAAATAACTGAAATGGTCACGTTTCATTAATATGTAGCACAGCCTTTTCCTAAGTTGAGGATCTGATGTCCCCACCAGCCCTGAGGTCATTGTCCCTCCTGGCTCTGCTGGAGATGAACACGGGGACGGTATTTACAACCTACTCTTTGATTCCCTCTGTTCAGGGGAATGCGGCCACGCTGCACAATGTCTCTGGACTGAATGACAACCTTAAGTCACCTTAACTAACTTTAGTTACCTAATTTTGTCACTATTTACATTTTTGATATCTTGCTCATTATGGATCTTTCATTAATTTTGAGCTTAAAAAAGACAGCTCATTAGAACACTATTTGTCTCCATTCCTGAGATTTTCTTGGCACCCCTTAAATTTTCACTGAAGACAAGGGGCTCCTTGGCTCCCCCAGGCTCCTGACCTGATGGGAGGTAGGGGGCCACCAGGGGCTGAGGAGCTCACTTTCCCTGTGGGTCAGCCTTGCCACAGGGCCATGCTCACCATTTGCACAGACCCCGTGACACAGCAGATCCTCATGCCACAGTAGCAGAGCTGAGCAGCCACAACAGGGACAGGGGGTCAGCAGCCAAGGGGTCTACCGTCTG